GAGAATAATCACAAATTTTAGACCTACATATAGTTGACAAACAAGAAAAATGTACGCTCCACAATAGGAAATTAGCAAAAACAAATAGTGGTCCCTTGTCTAATTTTACATGTCTATATTTGACTAGACAATTTTTTCAAAATAATTAACAAAATAATAAATATACTATATCACTCTTTAAATAAAATAAATTCAAAATTTGCGAAAAACATACTGAAAATTAATAATAAAAATAAATAATAAATTAATTGATAAATCATCTAAGTGAGTAAGTAAAACAAAATCACCCCAGCGTGCATATGAACTAGTCAGAAATAATAGAAACGCCCACATATTTTGACTGCACATGCCAGTAAAAAATAAGTTATATTCAAATCACACATAAAATAAATATAATGGATTATTTTCTAATATCTCTCCAAATATACTTTATTTTTCTGTAGTTGGTATTTCTGTTTAAAAAATTGCTCGTGTTGTTCTAAAATGAGCAAAAACATTTTTTAAGACTTCTATTTATGTCATGTCATGGCCTGAGTTCATATACTCTGTAAATTTAGCTGCTCCGGATTTGTCTTCAGACAAACATGATTGAAATTGTGCAAGCAAATTTTAGATGTAAGCGATTATTGAATTGTCATATTCAAATTTTAGACATACACAATTTGAGTTTGAATTGTCAACGTCAAAAAAATTATATACGCAATTGAAGTTTGATATGGTCACTCAATTATGAACTTTTTTCACAGAAAGTCACTCAATCTATTTAATTAATTTTTTCAAAGGCCTCAATAAAATTGGTTTTAAATAAAAGTTTCTTGTCAACAAATTTTATTGAAAAAATAAAGTAAATAAGTTGAATGACTTTGTAAGTAAAACATCTATAGTTGAGTGACTTTCTATGAAAACAACTCATAGTTCTGTGATTTCTATGCAAAAAGCTCATAATTGAGTGATCATATGAGATATTATCTCATTTCTGAAGTTTCAGACATGTATCTACAAAACTATAAAAAGTAGTTTATCTGAAGTTTCAAACACGTAAATTCAAAATCATAAGTAGTTTATTCGAAGTTTGAACTACATGACTTTGTTCCTATTATTATTTCTAAGTTTCTCTAAAAACATTCATATGATTTGAATTTACTTTTTAGACTCAAAATTCCTGAGAGACTTCTTCAAATTGCTATAGTGGTGATTTTCAAAGTGCGGTTTGAGTTTATTCGCCCAAAAACAAGCTTGTTTATGGGTCCATGATTAATTAATCAGGTTTACGCATAATTATTACGCTCTTCATTTCATATTGGTTGATCATTTTTCTTTTTACACGTATATTAAGAAATCATAAATAAGAAGATAATTTTGCCAATTTACCTCTTAAAAAACTTTTTGAAATTTTACAAACTAATGTGAACCCTTACAATTAATTGCAACGGTAATATAGAAAAAATATAAGTAATATTTTCTTGATTTAATAAGGTGGATAACTAATATAAGACAATTATTTTTAGTAAGATCATCAATTAATACGAAGACCGAGGGAGTATTACTACTTATACCTACAAGCAGGCATGAATTCGTCAACATGCCTGCTTGTATGAAAAAGGGTATTTTCGAAACTTTCAACTTTTTCCTTCTTCAACTCTTTGTAATCTCTTGCTTTAAGGGTGTACTTTTTCATTATTAGACCAAAAAACCAATCAACATTTACCTAATGACTCATATGTCCAATCAAAAAGTTATTCGTTGATGAACTGTGTGGGCCCAACTCAGTATGTCGGCTCTTCATTCCATTTTTCATTTAATAATAGTAATAGTAATAATTTTTCATTACTATTTAGTATTTTCACTATATTAAATTTATTTCTCTTATACTTTTTTGTTAGTTGTAGATTTAAAAATTATATAAATAATACTGTAATCACAATAATTAACGATATAAATATTTAAAAATTATATAAAAAAATTCAATTGACTCTTGACATTCTATTGGTACTACATAAAACGGGTTAGATGATAAACATATATTATTTGAAATTGACGTAAATATTTCAAAGCTATATTAAAAAATCCGACTGACTCTTGACACTCTATTGGTACTACATAAAATGGGTTAGATGATAAACATATATTATTTGAAATTGATGTAAAAAGTACAATAAATTGCAATAATTAACAATCTAGAAAAAAAATTAAAATACATATAAGAAAATCACTTGACTCCAAAAAATCTATCAATGACACATAATTTGGGACATGAGAAGTAATATATATTATTTAAAAATTAAAAAGGTGCTATAAATTATAATAATTAACAATTTAAAATATTTAAAAGACATAAAAAATAGCTAATTTTTGAAATCCCATTTATGCCACATAAATTGAAACAAACAAAGTCCTATAAATTACCACAATTAACAATTTATAATATTTTTAAAAATCATATAAATTTTTTGATAGCTTCTCAAGTTTCATGATAGAGAAAATGGTCAAATGCCCCCAATCTATTACCGGATTCTCAACTACACACTTCAACTTTACGGGTATCCTATCACCCCCTAAACTGTTTAAAACTAAAATTATTACACCCTTAAAAAACAACAACCACATTTATATTAACGGGTGAAACCCACGCGTTTGACACATAAATTTCTTTAAAAACTATTATTTTTACCTTTTTCCCCTATATTTTCATCTTCCCTTCCAACACCAAAATCTTTTCACCATTTATTTCCTTTGCTGCAAGCAGAAATTAATGCTTTCACCATTTTTTTCTTTCAACAAAAGTTTTTCCACCAACATTACCAAGTCTTAAATCTTTTGACATATCAAAAAACCTCAATTATTAGTGCTTCTTTTCAATTGCCCATAAATTAATTCATATCTTTTTGGTGGAACTCTAAACAATTTGACGACTTATGAAAGCAAAAGGAAATTTCTAACTATCTTCCGAAATCATTAGATCTGAATTCATTTAAAAAAAGTGTCACACCATCTCATCACAAAATAACCAGCCAGCTGCTATTGTCAACGGGCGATAGCAATGACAATTTTGAAGAGGAAAAGGCCAGCAAAATTTTCGATTTATATATGTTCCATACACTATTTGATTGATACTAGATAATTTTTATGGAATTATCTGTAAAATTGCTCAAATTGAGGCTATGTATCCATAACAATGCGACATTGATCTATCCAATTTCATTCTCAAAATCAAATGTGGGTTTCGTCGAAAATCCAAAATTCTTTTTGGATTTGAAATAAAATTGCCAAATTGAGGGATCGAATAATCAAGATATGAATTTCCAACTCAATCGGCCTTGTGGGTTGGCATGTAAAGTGATGATTAACAACTCTAATAATATCAATAAGGAATTGATTTTCAAAATTTTCTAATTTGATGCACAAATTGAAAAATAAAAATTCAAGAATCAAGAGGAATACTAAAATTTCATTGTCAATTATGTGGAGATGATAGTGACGGTGACAATGGAGAAAATAGTGGCGGTGGAGATGTAGAGATGGTGAATGGTGGAAAAGTCTATGTTGTAATGAAGAAGAAAGAAACAAATAAAGAAAAAAGAATAATTATAAATACAAGTATTTCTGAAAGAAAAATTAAAAATAAAAGTTTACTAAAGTGAAATACACTCACTTTGCCACATAAGCGTTTAGAAAGATGATAATTTCAGTTTTAAATAGTTTGGGAGATGATAGGACTCCCGTAAAGTTTAAGTGTGTAGTTGAAAATTCAATAATAGATTGAGAGGGCATTTGACCATTTTCTCTTCATAATATCAAATAAATTGAAATAAAAAATATTAATATATACCAGCACGGGACCCTATATCTAATATAGAAATAGAATACTAGGATGAATGAGAAAGAGTGGAAAGAGAAGGAGAGAACTGTAGCGGAGGAGACTAGGCAATTTTTTTAACGTTTATTTATCACCATTGATTACTAGTTAAATATTTTTTTAAAAAAAAAAACTAAATATAACTTAAATAACACGATGAAAAGTATATACCACATAGATATATTATTTATATTAAAAAGGATTTAACTTCTAAATATAAATAACCAACAGTTTAAAGTCATTTTCTCTAGCTTAATTTAACACTATAGTTAGAATGTTGTGTACGGATTAAAATCTGTCAAGTTTAAAATTGTCATATACTATATTTTACATAAGAAATTATTGCCAATGGGTGCAGAGCACGTGGTCACATGTTTTTGCATTGATGCGTGGACCAATTCACTTAACCGGACCGAACCTAACACTTCACCTTAGGTTCCTCGAAACAACATCAAAGAACCAAACATAGTTCTAGAAGAATAATATAATTATGTTTTGAATTTTTGTCCTATCTATTTAGAAAATTCATAATCTTTACTGCCTCGGAATCATATTAAGTGAATCATTAAAATTCCTTTTATAGTTCAAAATAAATTAATTATTCAAAATTTTATTTTTTCAATCAGTTAGTTAAGGTGTGTCAAACTCCAAAAATTCACGTAATATGGACCCAATGGGTATTAGCTTAAGAAATTTATTTTCCAATTATATTTGGCAAAGAAAAATAATTGTCCTAGTAGAATTGAGAAATCTTTTCTCTTATAGATTTACGATTATTAAGACCTTTTAAATCCTTTCTCTTATAGATTTACGATTATTAAGACCTCTTAAATCCTTTTTCTTATAGATTTACGATTATTTAAGAGCTATAAGAATCGTATTTGAGGATTTATTATCAATTGTACACTTGTTTTATATTTACTTTTGTGTGTGATGGTGTGCTAATAAACGTTAGAATCTTTCGGCAACGTAAAAACATTGAGTATTATTATAATTAATATTCTCCTAACGCGTTTGTGTTTTCCTAAAAACTTTTCTAGTCCCAACAACGCGATACGACCAATAAGGCAAATACTCGTCCAAATCTGAACCTCTATTTATATGTCAACTTCTCACAAAACTTCAAAACGCGTTTACTTTTTAACAAACATTCTTTGCTTTTCTTCTTTCATCTTCTTCTTCCCTTTGATTCAAATTTCTTTTGCTATGATTCTTTCTAAAAAACTCATCCTTGTTCTGTTTTTGTCGATTTCTCTGTTTCTAGTTCCAGCAAGTGCTATCAGAGGTTTTGTTGAGAAGCCCAGAAATATTAAAATTGATGGGTATTTGAATTATGTTGAATCTCCAGAGTATCGTAATAGCCAAGAATGTCCAATTTTAGATTCAAATTTGTTGATTTGTGACCCAAGTTTGATACATGTAGCTATGACTCTTGATGTCAAATATTTTAGAGGATCAGTAGCAGCAGTTCACTCTGTTCTCAAGCATTCATCTTGTCCAGAAAATGTTTATTTCCATTTTGTGGCTTCGAAGAATAAAGATTTTCAAGAACTGAGACAGATGGTGAAGTCCATATTTCCATCTCTGAGTTACAAAGTTTACAGCTTTAATGAGTTTCGAGTGAAGAAATTGATATCATCTTCGATTCGTCAAGCTCTTGATAATCCATTGAACTATGCTAGGACTTATTTAGCTGAGATCATCCAGCCCTGTGTTGAAAGGGTAATTTATCTTGATTCTGATGTTGTTTTGGTTGATGACATCCAAAAGTTATGGTCGATTTCTTTAACTGGTTCGAGAATTATTGGAGCTCCAGAGTACTGTCACGCAAATTTCAGAACATATTTTACCAACAATTTTTGGTCTGACCCGAAATTATCGAATGTGTTTCAAGGGAAAAAGCCTTGTTATTTCAATACAGGGGTGATGGTTATAGATTTAGGGAAATGGAGAAAAGGAGATTATACTGTAAAGATTGAGAAATGGATGAAGATACAGAAGGAGAAAAGGATTTATGAATTGGGATCATTACCACCATTTATGTTGGTATTTGGAGGGGAAATTGAAGGAATTGATCATAGATGGAATCAACATGGGCTTGGTGGAGATAATTTGGTGAATAGTTGTAGAACATTGCATCCAGGTCCAGTTAGTTTGTTGCATTGGAGCGGTAAAGGGAAACCTTGGGTCAGGCTTGATAAAGGGAATCCTTGTCCTGTTGATCTTTTATGGATGCCTTATGATCTCTATAGACTTAGCTCAATTGATTCTTTTGACGATCAAGAGCCAAGAGCCATGATTTGATTGTTTAAGCATACAAGTTAAAACCCTATAGTGATAATTTTTTTATTCTTTTTCTACATTGGGAAAAAGTGACAACTTAGATCCAGGGGATGATTTTGTTGAGTCCCCTTCGAGTTATTTCTTGTGTATAAGAGCAAATTATTTTTGTAAAGCGATTATTCTTTCATTTTATTTGTGATAATCAGAGTATTCATTTGATATTTTCTCTTCCATGATTTTGAAGTCTTAATTGGAGTACGTTGAATAGTTAATGATACGCATTCTAGAACAGAGTTTTGTACAAGATTCAGAATTTTTTTGCCCTCTATCTGCCTAATGTATGGTTCAAGGTTCAGTTAACGAGACATTTGGAAATTAATAAATGGATTGCTGAAGTTTATTGCCGCTAATAATATGCCTAATGGATGAAGATGTACCACCAATATTTATATAATACACCATTTTTTTATTTGACATGATGTGTTTACTATGAATATTTTTAAGTATTAGTTCGTGCATAGTTTTTTCCTCCACAAGAAAACATTTGTTCTAACTGATGCATCATTTAATTTTACATGTTTAGAAAAGATACTTCTGTCGAGAAATACTAATTCTAGATCGCTTGTATCTTGACACCAAATATAAAATGAAGTTTCGGACTACCTACCACAATATTAAGATAAACAATACCCCCACTACTTAAAAACAATGCTAGTATTATAATTTCACCTAATTAGTATAGCAGGACTTTATCAATCAAAGCAGCATGCCCCTTCTTTTTTTTGCCAACAAAAGCCACTTTTCACCAACCATTTTGAATCCTGAGTGAAGTGTGGACACTTCTCTTTCAACCACCACTCTAAATTCAAGGAAATTCCACCATTCTAAATTCACAGACGTAAAATTGAAATGATCCATACCATCCTTCACGTTTATAAACCCCCCAACATCATCCCCACCATGCAGCGCACAATGAAAATCTTTCCTTTAATGTTTGATTTTGGTGATAGTCTTATTGCAACCAACTGTTGAAGGTTGATGGGAGATCAGCAAAGAGGTTATACATAGTGGTTATTATGTGACGAATGATTATCCTACATTAGAATTTGCTAAAGGAAAATGCAAGCTAGGATCAACTATCAACTGCAGATTGCATGCATCATTTTGAGTGTACTTGATCAATTTATGCTATCAAGGAAAAGAGGATCTGAGAAATGGATTTATCATTTTCAACAGTACACCCTCCCATGCAATTACTCGTGACTTGCAAGAACAAAATTTTACAGGATATGTGGATTATTCTTATATAAATAACAGGAAATAATTGAGCTAGAAAGAGAAAAAGAGAAGGGGAGTAAAAGAGAAGCAGAATGTACATCCCTCTTTGTACTTCCCAAACTCATAACAAGCCGACGACACAACTTAGATGCAATCTGTTCTCCAATCCTCTCAAATGATGGCCCAATAACATACACCTGCCAATTACAACGATGCTTTATTGACCTACTCAGAAGAATCAGTTCAGATAAAGCTAGAGGATATCTGAGAAAAGCTAAGACAGTTGGTGACTACAAGGGATAAAGTAATAAATAACAGAGAGATGTCACGTTACTAACCAGAAAAGTAGTTTTGCCAAGTAATCCCGAGAAGTGCCTATTGCATCGCATAATTCGGTATCACTACTTTGGTAGTCTTTGGCACCAGTGAAATTAGAATCTTCTTCTTTGTTAACGTCGTCCTCTTTGAAAAATCTTTGCAAAATGTTTTGAGTAAGTTCCTTAATAATTTCCTCCACCTCAAAGGATGATGGTCTGGATAGTTCAGTCACCTGTTCCAGTAGCAGACACATCAGGATTCAATCTCATGGATTTCACACAGTATGACATACAAATAACTACAATACCATGTCAGATTCCAATGACCGAAGGTAATCCAGCAAATCATTGTTACTTTCGTTGATATACTCCATTTGCAAATTTTCCTGTTGCTGGGAATGCAGTTCCTGAGAGAAACAGAGAAGGACAGTATAACGTTTAGCTGAAGCTTTTATTTTTAATGTCAAATCGGACATAGCAATGTGCCACTGAAGAAAGGAACAAGAAACTATCAGTTTCAATGAGCAAGTTTGTACCCTAAGGAATTCAGCTGTCTCAATCTTATGTAGGCAAATTCAAATGCTTAATTATTGAAGAAACACAAGAGTAGTGAGTTCAAGTAACATGATTAGCCAGAAGCTAAATGTTTGATCTAGGCAAATATCTGATTTTCCAGCAGAAGTATAACTATTAATTAAATTATGCATAGATAAACTTGGAGATAAGCAAGTAGCAACACACTCACCCCCAGCATATTTATAAAAACGACAGGGAGAAGAATGGGGAAGATGTAGTAATTCATAATTCCTCTATGCACCAACTCTTACTTGAAAATATCCATTTAACATAATCAAAATAATTTGCAACTGAAAAATATTCTATGATTAAGGTCATGCTTCAAGAATGAACTGCAGAAAGCAGGGCTTAGACACTACTTATCCAGAAATTTGATTTTATTTGATTTACGCACAAGTGAAACTTTGAATGTTTACTTTTTCTAAAATAATGACCTGTCACAAATGTAACTGCTTAACCTTACTAGTTACTCCATCCACCAACTTTTTTGCAATAGCGACTAATTCATAATTTTTAGTAAGATAATTAATAATCTCTACTTTGAGAGTATAACTTCAAAGAAAATTTACATGATTAACTAACAAATGTGTGTAAAGTATCTAGAATTTCATACTAATTAAGTTTTGCACCAATGAAAGCATCCAAATAGCTTTTGTTTTAGACTACTCTTGGCAGTAGAATGAACATAATGGAACTTTTACAATGAAGAGTCTTCTATATGAAAAGATTCATGAATGAGTGAAGCACTTTGGCCAAACATACTTGATAACTTCAGTGGTTGACAACTCTTACACCTCTCAAATTTAACCCATATGGAGTAGCTAGTATTCCAAAAATTATCAGATGGACATTTATCAATGAGTTCTGAAAAAGGAGCTGTTTCAGACGAGCTGCAGTGGCATATTCAATTAACATATTAAGGTAAAAAAATACTTAGATTAATCCATAAACATGAGTTGAAATGCCACAAATATTTCTTAATCAACATCAGTCCACACAAACTCGCTATACCAGATAACGAGAACACTCCTGCAGTAACCAAATGTTCTGTAACTAAAAAATGACAAGCCAATAGTTCACATATAATCAAACACTGACAGTAGCTTGGATAGATTACAAAAGAGGAAGAATTTCACCTGCTTAACTGATGAGAGTTCTTCTTCTAATTGTTGAACATATTTCAGAGCTTCCGGAGATAAATTCCCAAGAGCTTGAATATCCATTCTCTCTGAAACCGCAGAAGACATATTTACACCAACTCCGCTTTCTCCCCGCTCTATCCCCTTGCTCTTTGAGCCTGAGTTCACATCTTCCTCCGATGAGTTGAAGCCTTTCAAATTATCGGATGGGATATCAAAATTCCTCATCAAGGATATCCTGTACTCCGCATTCCACAACGTATACCTACCACCACAAATCAACACCAATTGAATACACCATAACTTATTCAGATTGATCCAGAACTTTAACAAATTAACAATCACTATTTTAGACTTTGTGCATAAATTAAATTTAAGAGATTAGGTACCCGGTAATAATAGAAGAAACAATGAGGCGATCGAGAGCGTGTTTGGAAAACCGAACAGTCACTGAGAATTGATCTGAAGGGAGCAAGCCTAACATAGTAGAAATCGTCTGCTTCATTGAGTCCTTAGCAGAATCAGAAACGCCTTTAGATATAACAGAAGTGTCCAACGGTTCAATTCGCTTGAGCATATTGGCAATAACAGAGAATTCACTGCCGAAACTGGACTTCCTGGTGGAAACAAAGTCGTCCGAAACACCGCCGCCGTCTACGCCGGAAATAAGGCAGTTAACGGACGTACGCCGCCTGGTGGAAGCGGAAAGAGAAGGAAGCAAGGGACGGATGAGGAGATGGTGGGTAAAAGGAGGGGGTAGGTGAGGAGGATGTTGATGAGACTTAAGTGAGAGGTCTGCTAGACGAGATGCGAGTAAAACCCTAGCTGAGGCGGCAGCCATTAAAGACGGAGATTCTTCTGCTTCTTTCTCCTTCGTCTATTTTATTGTGTGGCTTGCGATGCCTCCGGCGAAGTTCTCACATCTTCCTTTCATTCTCTCTCCCCCTCATCTTTCATTTCATCCCACCCAATTCGTTTTCGTGTTTTTGTTGGCTTCTGAATTAACTGACTCTATGCCCTTCTTATTTGATTTATTTACGGATTCACCATTCTCGTATGCCTGGTTGTGAACTCCTTCCGTAAAACGCGAGAATCTTTGAAAATCTGGTCATTTTCTAATTTCTTTTTAGTGACGTTTCGACATAAAAATCCTGAATTTTTTATTTAAAAGAAAGAAAAAAAATACTTCATTAGTTTTTAATTTGATGGAATTTTAAAAATTAAATTAAATTTTATAATCTTAATTAGGATATGCTAACTGTATAAAAATATGCATTTTACGAAAATATACTAAAAAAGCAAGTAATACTAACAAAGTAAAATAGAGAGAATATTGTATTTATTTTTTAATTGAAAATTTAAGTTACGTTTGAACACAGATATTAATTAGAGTTAATTTTTAATTTTTTTGGATAGTTTGAAATGAAAAAAAAAACAATCTTCAAATTAACAATAATAACAATAATATATATCCAATGTAATTCCACAAAGTTGAGTTTGAGAAGGATTGAGTGTATGCGGACGTTACTATTACCTTAGTAGCAAAAAAAATATTTACGATGGACTCTAAGCTCAAGAAAAAAAATTCAAATCAATATAGAAAAAAAAACTAGAATAGAAAAAGTCATGAAAAAATAGTATAGAATATCTGACAAATTATTCTAAACAATAGTCATTTCAAATAAAACGATAATTAAAATATTAAAAAATATATAAATAATAACCAAACTCAAAAACAAACGACACAAAATAATACTATCACTAATAGTAATATTTTTGGAAAAGATTGAAAACTATGCTGAACGGGCACTTGATTAAATTTTGCTGTAGAGTGAACCTCACCACTAATTTTCATTTTGTCTTCTTACTCATAGACACTAGTAAATCCTTATCAATCAAATGGTCCAGCAAACATAGCTGTCTACCAAAGAGTAAATTTATTCAAATATTATTTCATTTCAGGTTATTATAAGTACTTTTTTAACTTTTGAAAATATTTATATTGATATTAATAACAAAAAGTGATGGATATTTTATTTTCAGCTCTTATATTCTTTTATCTCTTGATAATGATAAAATAAGTGAATTCATCAAGTTTTTTTTTCACTCACAAATATTTAAGTACTAAGAAGTAATTAGAATTATATTTATGATTCTTGTACATTTCTCTCTACCATCTCTCCTTGTTTATTGTTGCTATGGATGGAGCCATACTCAAATTACTAACAATTTGAGTATATATGATATACCTAACTAAAATATTACTCCCTCCGTCCCTATTTAGTTGTCCACTTTAGAAATGACACACAAATTAAGACAACAATGATTAGCATAGTGAAGTTACAATTTTATCCTTATAGTACAATTTACAATTTCAAAATAAATTCACTCAAGATAACTAATCAATGTTGGGAAGTTCATAAGTTTATTTATTTTATTTATGACAACTTTATTTAAATAAGGGTATAATAGGAAAAATTTTGTTGTCATTTCTTGATTTGTTAAAATGGACAACTAAATAGGGACAACTAAAAGAGGAAATATGAACAACTAAATAGGAACGGAGGGAGTAAAAAGGAATGGCGTCCTAACTTGCAAAAATAGGTTAATTTGTCAGATTATAATTAGGAAAAGCCCACATTAATAGTGCAAAGAATAAAGTGTTTTTAATTCATACATCGGATTATAATTAGGAGAAGTCCACATTAATAGTGCAAAGAATGCAGTGTTTTTAATTCACAAATTCCTTATTGAAACATGTGCATGTCTTTAATTAATCGCGTTTGAGATGCACGCATAAAAAATGGACAAAATTTTATTTGTGGACTGTGGCGTCAGGATGGAGGGAGGCCCAAACAGAATTTGTCAATTTGGTTTCTCTAGTGGCAAAAGTAGAAAAATGAGAACCAATTGTTTGAATCATGAAGAGCCAATGAGAAAATGGTCAAATAAGTAGGCCATTTGTTCATGCATGGAGACGCTTATGATAGTTGTAGCTTGCCAGGAGCCACCCAATTGGAATGGTCGGTCCAATCGTATGCATTTCATAATTTTATAATATTGTTATGTAACGCTTTGGTTGCTACTAGAGGTACTTTTTTCTTTCTTTTACGCTTCTTTAATAGAATTAAAAAGTATGCAAATTTGCCCCTTAAGAAGTTGTGATTGTTATTCATAGTCCCAAAAGCATAATAAAATGACCTTCAACTCTAACATTGTTGAACATGGTTGGATTAACATTTGAAATATTGTTGCATAACACTCATGTTAGTAGAAACGCTACCAATTTATGGATTCTAATTCTTTCTTTCATCGAAAGATAATAAATTGATAAATATTAATAGGTTGCTTTTTTTGTGTAATTTTAAAATGAAAAGTATGCAAATTAGTCAACTACGACTATATATAGCTTAATAATGTAAAAACAAGCTCTAAAAATATTGAAATTTTGATATAAATATCACAAGATCTTTGTTTGAAAATTTAATTTGAACAAATCAATTACCGAGAGATGTTTATTTCTTTTTTTTACATACACAATTTACTTTTTTAGTTAATTAAAAGAAAGTAAAGAAAATATATATGATTTCAAACTCATGAGAATATTAATATAGTAAGATCTATTTATAAACAATTAAACTTCTATAACATTTTGTTATAACAATTATTTTTTAAAAAAAAATCAATTTAACATTCTATATTCTATATAACAAAATTTTGTTATAACAAATAAAAACAACACGTTATGTAGAGATTTTATCGTATTTAATGTTGGACTATGTATTCTAAAAAACTTTTCAATTTGTTCTAGAAATTGAAAAGAAAATTTAGAGCTTCAAAGATTTCTTTAAAAAGTTTATGGGCCTTTTCGTAAATTGAAAATAAAGCAAATTGCAGTCAACGAAGAATTTCGATTTCGCGAGACTATATAAATACGGAAGGGGGCGAAATGAACAGGTTAGGTCATCATCATCAACAGTCTCAAAAAGATCGTAAAGTTTGCGTGTTCTTTCCCCCGTTTTTCTATGGCTTCTTCCACCATTAATCGATGGCTGAGGCCCGAGGTTCGTTTTATTCTTCCGCCATAGATCTCCTCCCTTCTCTTTCCTTATTATAAATATTTTTTTTAAATCTTCCTATGAAATCGGCGATTTTTGATGGATTATTGGGGGCTTTTCTTGTTTTATGGTTGAGTGTTGGTTTATCGATTAGATCTGATTGATTAAATATGCTATATTTGTGGTGGCGCAGGTGTATCCACTTTTTGCAGCCGTAGGCGTTGCTGTAGGGATCTGTGGAATGCAATTGGTTCGTAATATATGCACCAACCCTGAAGTCAGGTATCTATTCATATGCCCTCTGTATACATCTTCGTTTATGCCTTGTCTAATTTGTGTTAATTTGATTTAACCAACTTTAATTGGATACATGGTACTTTTTGAAAAATAAAACGAAGAGTATGCTTGATAAAATTCTCTTTCAATCATTGTTTGCAAGAGTTTTTTTTGTCGAATTAAAGATTGTTATGTCAATACAAGAACTAGATCGAGCATGTATGTAGAGAATTTATGTGACAGCTTAGAATTTACGCTTAGTTGATGAATAATTTGAGAATTCAAGGTTACTAACTCCATTGCTAGGCTGCCCAATCCTCCACCCTGGAGCCTGTAGATTATAGGTAAAGCCATTTTCCCCTTTTCATCCTCATAGGTAGAATGAATAATAAAGAAGTAAATAGAAACATAATTTTTCAATAAAATTAGTGATTGATCTACCCTTGATTTATCTCCCTAAAAACTGTATGCCTCCTTTATGTTTATTGTTTATTTAGATGCTGATGAAAGAATATATGTATATGTGTGGGTTAGAGATGGATTCAAGATTTGAACAATATGGGTTCAGTTTTCATGATTTTACTTGCTGGTTTCGAATTCTATTACTTTGGTACTTATTTAGTTAATTTTAAACCCACATACTTTGAGTGAACTAAAGCTACTAAATTTGAATGGACCAATTAGTAATACATAGATCCACCACTGATTGTGATTTACTTGAGTGTTCTTTGACAATCAATAATTCGATAAAGAAGAAAAGCTTCTAAGAGTATAACTGGTAGGACTTTAAAGCAACAGATGAGGTTACAATTGCGAGACTGAGAAACGGAAGAAGGAAAACCTGGTAAAATTTCTCTAATTTTGGATCAATTTTATTTGATTCTTTGTTGGTGGTACAAATTAAGTCAGTTGATCAACTGGTATAACATCTGCTAGGCAATGAAACCGCCCACATTTAAGTTGTGTCGTACCAGATTGCATCTTTTTTAGCTGTGGCAGAGTTTGGAATATTATGAAGGAGATAATTGAAAAGTGTGAATGCCACACCCGAGGTTAGAACACGTGACCGGTAGCAATTTTTGAGCCACATTTGCTACTATACTAGAAGCTTCTTTTGTGTCAACGAGATTCCCAATTTATTTATTTGACATAAAATGTTTTACCCTATTTGCACGATATTATCTTTTGAAAGGTGATTCAATTGACCCCTACTGAACTCTCTACATGCAAGTTGCATCCACCCCCACACCCTACTGACCGTGTCTTCTTGATGTTTGCAAAATTCTCAGGGTGACGAAGGAAAACAGGGCAGCAGGAGTGCTGGATAATTTTTCAGAAGGGGAGAAATATTCAGAGCATGCTCTAAGGAAGTTTGTTCGAAACAAGTCTCCAGAGATTATGCCATCAATCAACGGCTTCTTCAGCGATCCAAACTAATGCCCTAGTCAAGTTTAATATGGATTATAACATCATTATTCTTTGTCCTCTTCTTTTCCATTGAATGAGATAGACATGAAATGCATTTTTCTGGCCTGCGATGGGCCTAAAAGATATTGAAAGAAACTTGAATAAATGTAATCAGAACCACAAGTTCCTCCCTTTTGACAGGGCACATCTTTTCATATACTATTGAACTGTTGTTTTCCGGAAGAAAAATTCATTTACTTTCATGCATGAATAGCACTATTTTGGATTGGACATTTCAGACGTTCTGATGTATGATCAAACTGTGGTGCACTAGTTACAGCTTCAAGAGTTTGAATGAGAGTTTGGGACATTCTATTGTTGGAGCACTTTTCTCCGATTCTCGTTGATACACCGTCACCAACACTCAATTATGGCCCACTTCTCTTTTCCTTTTAGGCAAGAAACTCTTTTCCTTGTCCCGTATTTGTTTGCACCTCTTTAAACATTCAATATTTTTGCCAGTCCTTAGCATGAGTATTTTTCATGAATATATCATTGATCCAGCATTTGCCAATATAATCAATAGCCAAACAGGCTATGAGAAACCAGACGTCTGGCAGCCCCTTATAGGCCATTTGTAGAACAAGTATTTACATTGGACTAATCTACCAACTTATAATCAATCATACAAATACCTATCTTTGTGAAGCAACCTCTTAACTTGTTCTCTTGTTGAGTTGCTGTTTACTGGCTTTCTTCCCATGATCTATTACATAAACAACCCAACCTGGTCAAGGATTTTGCGTGAAAGTTGTTTAATCTTGGTGATTCTCCGGGTTGTCTGACGCAAGGTGCTCCTAATCTGTTGGATTTTAAGGCCTTAACTTTTGAATCAAACTCTTCCGAAGAGTTTTCACCCTTATCCAGTGAGTCGATCAATCTGACAAAATTGAACCTGTCAGGGCTATTGGTCTCTCGAAATCCTTCAAATCTTCTATGACCTTGCGCAGCAAAAACATAACTTTCAAGGGGTACCATATAGTCTACAGTAGCAAGACGATTTTGATAATTCTTGAAAGCCTTGGGGTCTTCATTTGTTGCAAGGGTTGAGTGAGAGAACACATTCGGGTAATGCAAACGGAATTCATCCATGCTGTTGTTACATAAATTTCCCCTGCAACGATGTATATTCTTCCATGATCTCAGACTGGAAACTACAAAGGCACCGAATATTGCTAAGCATCAGGGCTTGGATATCACAAACTGATAATAAGCCGCCGCACACTCAACTTATATGTATGCTGGAGATATTCAACCAATTACCGCCATCTCTTAAGTGAGAGTAACATCATCAGAGATGTCCTTGTTGAATGTGTTTGCTACCATCTGAAATAAAAAAGATCCAAGATGACATTAATGTTCATATTGTTTGTGCAGCTCGTTGGCACCTTCAACCTGCCTCAACATAATGAGCAAAAAAGCTCATTTGGCAAATGGAAACATTTTGAGTCTGACAGTAGCTGAATTGGATAAACTGTACTTCCATTCAAGAAATGTAGTCTATCATGGGTAACTCTTAAAATGGCAGAAACAGTTGCACCTAGAAACCTTTTCAAAGGCATGCTATAACTGTTGGGCGCGCAAAATTATCAGGCTTAATTGGAAAATATAAAACATGAAATAAGAAAAACAACACCAAGCAAATTGGAGTTGTCATCTTCAGATAAAAACATGACTTAGTGATAAAGGTAGAGTTTTCTTATTTCTTCTCTTTGCTTGTGGCATTTCTTATATGTTGTTCAACATTATGAAGTCTAATTACCAAAGATACTTAATGATTAGCTACTAGTTCTTCATATCTCATGGATTAAGAGGTTAAAGACGATGATTAATCAAAAAAGAGGCGAAAATGTAGTAAAAGTGGGGTCTAGGGAGGATAAGATATAAGCAGAAATAGGTTCAAACGTGTGATCCTGCCTTAATATGAGGAACTTGTGAAATGAGTAGACTTCTGGACCAACATATCATGAATATAGCCAAGAAAGGTGCCATTCTGTTACGGTCCCTTGTTATGGATATGCTACAAGATAAAATCTGAAGTTTTCTTCCTACGATCTATGATGCTCGTTCGTTAAGAGAGAACCTGCAATCTCTTGAGTCAAAGTACTCAAAAACTGAAATTGTTTTTTGCTTATATTTTCTGAGACAAACAGATATTTTAAATACAACACTATTACATGATCTCCTAACATTACTAAAATGAAAAACTGCACTAGTACAGGAAAATAACTACTACTAAAAAGAAATAAATATTGTTCTAACTATTGGATGACTAAGGAGTGATAACATTACTCTCCTCCAAATCGCGCTTGTCCTCAAGCACACTAAGTGCAGAAAGTATTAGTATTTCCCTCCTTTCCAACAAACTCTTCCTCATCGTCTATAAAGTCAATCCAGAATAGTTTCTTGCATTGATAACCTCGGGTGAATGGTTCATCACAATTGAAACAAAGTCCCTTAAGTCACCTAATTTCCTCCATTTCAGATCTAGTCAGTTTCTTCACAAATCTGGCATGTTGTTGAGGTGAGAAATCTGTTGCCTTGGACTTGCAAGCATCTAACAATTGTGTACAAACGGGTTGTTCCTTGCGTTCATAAAGCCGGGATAAACTCATCGTCGTAGCCAAATCTGGAGGATTATGCAGCTCAACCTCAATAGCTATATAATCAGTAAGACCGCTTATATAAAGTTCAATTTTTTGCGACTGAGTGAGTATACTAGCCCGCAAAATTAACTGCTCAAACTTTTGTTGGTAATCTGCCACAGACCTAATCTGGCATAACTTAGCCAATTCTCCCAATTTCTGACTTCTAATTGGTGGCCCAAAGCACAAGTAACATTGACATTTGAATTCATCCCAAGATGGTTGAGGCATATCTATCTCTAGTTGAAGAAAACCTTCTAAATGAAAAGAAGCAAGTCCAACCTTTTCTTCCTCTAGAGTTTGTTGGTGTCAAAAGAAGTGTTCACATTTGTTCAACCATCCCAAAGAGTCTTCTTGGCCATTAAATCGTGGGATATCCAACTTTGTATGTCGAGGAACGATGAAACTTCCTCTTACTTCTGATCTTGACCATCCTGCCACTTTTTATTTTTTTTCCTTCCAACTGTGATTCTGACTTGTATTTTTAGTTGAATTAGAATTGACCTTAGAATTCTCTAAATCCTTTGCGAGTGCATCCAAACGAGCATTTATTGCTTCCCGTCTGGCCAAATTGGTTGCACGTTCTTCTTGGAACAAGTTCACCGATTGTGCTAGTTGATGTTGAGTTTGGTTTCCCATATCTCCTGTCTCTGATACCAAGTTGTTACGGTCCCCTGTTGTGGATCTAGTTATGGGACGTTGCAAGATAAATGTGAAGTTTTCTTTCTATGACCTATGATGCTGGTTCGTTAAGAGAGAACCTACAATCTTTTGAGTTAAGTACTCAAAAACTGAAATTGTTTTTCTGCTTATATTTTCTGAGACAAACATATAGTTTAAATACAACACTTATAAGATAACTACACCTAGAAACTAGGACATGATCTACTAACATTACTGGAATGAAAAACTACACTATTACAGAAAAATAACTACTACTAAAAAGAAATAATTACTTGTAACTATTGGATGACCAAGTAGGGATACACATTCCCTCCTCCCTACCACTCTTGGAATGGGTAAAATGAAAGCTATTCAACTTATTTAACTGAAATTTAGAAATTACCCTTATTCTGATACTGAGGGTGATATTTAGATGCAAGATCCTCCCAGTTCTGAATCTGTTTAAAATTTTCTTTACCAGGAACTCCTGATCTAGGCAGGCTTGATGGACCAAAAGGACCAAATACAAAATCCTTTGTACCACGTTTATATATTAAGCTGCATATCTCCTGTTTTTTATCTTACAATTCATCATCTTTTTCAACTTTCAACTTTTATACCTGCCCGTTTGACATTATTGATCAGATGAAGAATCATCCCTGAATCGGTGGGAGTTATATTTGTGATCTCTGCCCCAAATGTTCTCCTTGTTGAATCACCTGATTTAGCAGCTGCAAGGGACCACCTAGGATTTTCTTTCCAGGCTATCCACCTAAATACTGGTTTTCCATTATCTGGGCTACATATCTATTGCAAAGATCAGAAGAAATAATTCTCAACATTTGCAATATCATACAAGCGTCTGGTTTTTGCTGCAACACAGTTTATGAAAAACAAATTTTCTGTCAAATTTTTCATCATAAGTTAAACATAACAACATATTATGAACATGAATTACTCTTCATAGTCATCTGATCGTGGACATCACCAAGGCATTAGCTTGCAAACAACTGACAACTAGTCAGAAAATCTGTATGGCTCCACTTACATCAGAGCGATGGAAAAGCTTTACAAAATTTTGTGCAAGAATCATCATAGACTTCTCCTTCCGGTTGTCTACATAATCAGACCTCAAGTTAGTCTCACTAAATATTGAATAGGGATATATGATATCCAGTAGTTCTTTAGAATATATTAGAATAATGTTCTCTCCACTGGAAAAGAATTCAATTCAAAAACCACAGGTCCACAACCATCACACCTACATAGAAGCACTTACCTATTTTATGTGATCCAGAAGTTTTGCCTTCTGCTTTTTCCTAAAGATCTGAATGATTACAAGCTATGACTTAGTAGAAGAAGGTGCAATCGCTGAGGAAATCTAAGTAACTAATTGAGTGAACTAATGGGAGAATATCCACATTTGAACTATTACAGTCCCACTCCAAATCACTCTATATAGATGGCTCATTGTGGACAAAGAAAGAACATGGTGTACATACATTTGAAAACATTGTGGCAAGTGGAGGAGACAGTGTACAGATCTTTTAGTCCTCCTTTCTACAAAATAAGCAAATAATATTAACTAGACAACTACCTTAAGCAAATCTACAGCTTTAGGAATTGCACTATACCCATTCCATATCTATACTGATTCTTAGCTTTTCGTGACAAAAAGGGAAATAAACTGCCTTACTCATTCATCATATAAAGATTATGAGACGAAGATGAAAAGATAAAGAATTACCCCAACGCTTTCCAAAATATTGACAATATCATAAATGTGCGCCTCTCGACACCCACAACCACAAAGAGATTCTTTGTAATAACATTCAAGAAGATATCTGCATTTTGTGTTGACACGGTTGGGAAGACAATATGAGGACTTGTAGATGAGAAGACAGGGCAAAGACCTAATTGATCTGCAGTATTGTCCAAGCCACTGGTGGAGTCCACACCTTCCCGATCACATACTTCAAGAAACTAAATAGTAAGAAACTTATCAGTTCAGGAAAGTAATGATATATAGATGATATGTTGATTTATAGCGAAAAATCCAGATTTTTTTACTTAAGTTTTTAAGGCATTTCATCAGCTCCTTCCACACATTTCTACCTAACTTTGTAGATGAAGGGGACAAAAACAAAATGGCAAAGAACATACGATCAATATTCAAAATTTTCCAACAAACTGAGACATGATAAAACTCCTACAAAGAGACATAGCCAATTTACAAAAGATTTGCAAAATAGTTTCTTGAAGCTGCTGTGCTAGAAAACCACCGCTGTGTCCCTCCAACATATTAAGGCAGCGAGAAGTCCTAAGTCGCTATGCAAAAGGTGCTCCTTGCATTCTATAAACATGAAGGTTCCGATAGAAAGTGATTCCAAGGAGGTGAGGGACATATTTAGGGCTTCAAGTGGAAGCGAACCACTTGAGGAAGTTGAGACGAAGAAAGAAGAGAGGATCAAGGCCCTTCATTCTCAATCCGAGCATTTTTCTTTGATTGTCCTGATGATATCTATTAAACTTCTCATGGTTTTGTTTAATTCCTCTATCTTATTCATCCTTTAGAACTTAAATAGAGTGTTTGTTTGGTCATCGTCTGGTACTTTTATCGACTCTGTTTCAGAGAGGACTGCATAATTGTACTACCAGCGCTTAAAACCCATGGCGGTGGCGGTGTGCCATCGGTGGATATTGAGAATTTTTATTGACTAGGCTAGAATTCAAAAAGAATCACAGAAAGTCGGAAAAAAAATACTTAATAACTTTTTTTTGTAAAAATAAAAAAATTGTGAGAGTTGGCAGCTGAAACTATTCGAGTAGAAACTTGATCATCAATTTGAAGAAATATATTCATTTAATGAACTCAATTTCTCACAAACTAAAATAGCTAGCAACACTATAAATTTGATCTCCTACTCCAACTTTGAATTATCCACAAGGTGGTTATATTCGTTTATTATGGTATATCCAAAAGGTGGTCATATTCCAAAAAATACGAGCGTGTTAAATTTATGAATGAGCACAAGTCCATATATTATACATCATTTATACATAGGCTTGAGTTTGTCAAACTGTGCGTGTATGATTAAGCTCATTTTAGAGGAATAAGACTCGTCAGATCCAAGCTTAAAATAATAAATATCCGTATCAAACATAAGGTAGGCGACATACTGCATATTTCACTCTTGCACAATGAAATGCAATGATATTTCAATTTCTAATTTACATTCCCACACAGTGAGATGACAAGCAAAGATTTTGAGATGTCTGCATAATATTTACAACACGATTAATTTAGCTCAATAAAATTAAAGTTCAGTTTGGAATTGCTTCAAGAGGTTTGAATAGGAAAAAGGAACCGGAACACAGATAACAACATCAATGGTAGCAGGTATTTGCCATTTAAAAACCTAGTAAGCTCATACGAAGAATTTAAGTACGTAGGAGAGATTGATTGTCTCTCATGGACCTGTGCACGAAACTCATCAGATAAAACTGGGAACTACAATGGCACCAAATATTACTAAAGGGCTTGGATATCACAAACTGATAATAAGCCGCACACTCAACTGATATGTATGCAGGAGATATTCAACCAATTACCGCCATCTCTCAAGTGAGAGTAACAGCATCAGAGATGTCCTTGTTGAATGTGTTTGCTACCATCTGAAATAAAAAAGATCCAAGATGACATTAATGTTCATGTTGTTTGTGCAGCTCGTTGGCAGCTTCAACCTGCCAAGACTCCCATGCCTCAACATAATGAGCAAAAAGCTCATTTGCAGCTGTAACATTTGGCAAATGGAAATATTTCAACCTCTTCATTAATGCAATAATTACATGGGATATAAACATACATTCACATGAACAGAAAAACAATTTTTACTCTAACAGTAGCTGAATTGGGTGCTAGAAATTGGATAAACTGTACTTCCATTCAAGAAATGTAGTCTCATGGGTAACTCTTAAAATGGCAGAAGAGTTAATCAGAGCTGATTCACCTTTTCAAAGGCATGCTATAGCCGATAGACCCTCAGCTCAAAAGAAGTGTAATCAGAGCAGCATGGAAAGGAAATAACGAGCGCAAAAATGTATACAAATATCTTTTTTAATTCTTTTTCTTTTGTTCATGAGGAGTAAGGAGAGGGGAATAGAAACGGGTTCAAATGTGTGATCCTGCCTTAATATGAGAAACCTGTGAAATGAGTAGACTTATGGACCAACATATATGAGAATATAGCCCAAGAAAGGTGCCATCCCCTCCTCCCTACCGCACTTGGAATGGGTAGAATAAAAGGTATTCAACTTATTCAAATGAGATTCAGAAATTACCCTTATTCTGATACTGAGGGTGATATTTAGATGCAAGATCCTCCCAGTTCTGAATCTGTTTCAAATTTTCTTTTCCAGAAATTCCTGATCTAGGCAGACTTGATGGACCAAAAGGACCAAATACAAAATCCTTTGTACCACGTTCATTAAGCTGTTCTGCTGATATCTCCTGCTTTTTATCTTTTAATTCATCATCTTTTGCAACTTTCAACCTTTTTAGCCCATTT